CTAAATAAAAAAACAATTCTTTCCATATTTGAGAAATTTAACTAAGATAATTAAATTAAAAATTCAAAATTAATATTGGGAATTACCGCTGTATGGAAATACATTGGCCATTTTGGGGATGCCAAATAAAATGTGGTTAAAATCTTCGAAATGCCGAATACCGGGTGGTAGATGAAAATATGGGGATTGTGCGAAACGTGAACCAAATACATTTTCATTCCCATAAAAAAATCAGACACAACATGGGTATGGAAAGTTAAAGTGATTACCGCAGACAGGTAGCTATCTTAGAATTTCGCGCTGATCAAGAATATATAATTTGTTGGGTCTTACAAACTTAATATATCCTTCCATACCTTAAAGGATGATATAACAAATAACACTGCGCTACATAAAATATTATTAAAATTCAGCAGATTATCTAATTAGGGCTCAAAATAGATGACACTTATCCACATTTTTTGAAAATTTCGGATTAAAATTCTTAGGAGACATTGGAGGTGGAAACATGAGGCTCAGTGAGTCACCGAAAGGGTGTGTAATTTAGTTTAAGTTAAAATTAGTTTCGGTGTTCAAGTAAAATTTTGACTCGCTTCAGGGTTAACATTTTCGAGCAAAATATTCTAATCCTATGATATATATAATATTCTCTATCTGCAATATACCTAAAATCAGCGGATTCCAATGAACATTTCCAAAAAAATACAGTAAGGAAAAGTCAAAAGTCGGGTGGGCCGACTATATAATACCCTACATCACTATGCATATTTAGTAGAGCTCCCGTAACAAAGTAGATCATATCACCTATCAACATTTGGCTTTAGAACAGTAATAGTTTGCTATAGAGTGTATGATATCACTTGGAGAAAGATTATATTAAAAAATTTATATCGGAGCCGAGTTGCACAAAATGTAAACATACGTCTCGAAATTCAGTCCATTTGGGCTGATATTAGCCATATTTGCACAATAAACCTGAAATCGTATTAAGGATATATACATCTTATATATATAAAAGAAAGTTGTGTTAGTTACTACGCTTATAACTTAAGAACCGCTGGATTAATTTTAACGATTCACACAAATTCGGAGTTGTCTACTCTCCGAAAAGGATAATATCCAAAAAAATCGCGTAAAAATGTGATATATTAACATTTTCATTTTGACTTTTCAAATGTACAATAGTAATGTTTTATTTTGCATGATTTTTTTCCATTTTGACTTACTTTTTTCTAATGTACATTTGTAGTGTTTTTTTATATTTTATTTTGAATTCGAATATTTATACCAATTTATTTAATTGACTTGATTTCTTGAGAACTGAAATTGATGGCGGGTTACATGGAAGTGTAGTAGCGAATTATGTGGTGGCGAAACGGAATAGATGATATCGAAATAATTTAACGCGGTCACACCAAAGTTAAAAGATAATTACTTTTTCTAAATCGCTGAAAAATCATGAAAAAGAGATCTCATTGCAAAAATCAAAAAAAAACATTTTCAATGGAATCGAATTTTAAAGTAATAGTACATTCTATTGACAAACTTTGTAAGGAAGGATCTTAAAACATTTGCTGTAAAAAATCAGCGAAAAAGTTGAAGACTTTTTCAATTTGTTATTCTTTTTTTTGTCAATTTTTTTTGTGAACAAAATAAAGAATAATTTTTCACTAAAAAATTAAATAAGTGCGAAATAGGATGTTAACTGACATCTACCTTTCAACTCCAGGGCCTACATCGTGGGTTAGCTGAAAGATGCGAACACATTTAAACAAACAAAAATGACCGAAAAAGCTTAATGGGGCTCATTTCAAAGCGTGACAATGATCCGTCCAATGAGAGCTCAAAATGCAAAATTCTTTGGGAGAATAATAAGTAATATACCAATATTGAAATAAAAGGTGCAAAATAGTAGATCGAATGGGACTTTTAGTAAGAAAGGTTTTATATCCTTCCAGAAATTCTTCCCAAACATTCAAAATACCTAAAATCACTTTTGCAGGTCTTTATATCGATCATAACTCATGGATAAGGGAACAACCCGATTTCATATTTATATAACCATCTATGATTTAAGTTATTTTTGGGGTCTTGGCCGGTCACTTTTTTCATTTTTTGGCCCTTATTTGACATTTTTGTTTCTAAGGGGGTAGATAACCTCTTCGCATAAAATTTGAAATTTTCAGAGTAGGGCCCATATTGGTATTGACCACATTCATCAATTGATTTGGCTAAAAAATTTTATTTATGCCACCCTGGGGTAGGGAACCATCATACAGATAATTGCCACATAGGAATTTATTTAAGTAAAGTCCCCACATTGGAGTATCCCCAAGTCCACTTTCACATATAATGTGTGGTCAGAAAAGAAAATTTTGTATTCTATTGAATTTGTAACTCTCAAGAGAATATTGGTTGGAAACGTAGATTTGGGAAATACATCTATATGATAATATGGTGGATAAAACTATTTTTACTCATTTAAATCACGCGGAATGTTTTTCAGTTTGATATGATATGTTGTTCTGTTAAATTTTTGATTTGGTCTCTATTTGTCATATTGGATTATAAGGGCTAGAAGAATGTTTTCAATGTAGGTCGATGTCTCGGAGTAGTGCCCATGTAAAGTATCTCCTGATTTTACCATATTTCAAAGGATTTGGCTAAAAATGTGTATTTGGGGTGTGAAAATCTTACACAAAATATGAACATATATACAAATTTTAGAATTTTTTCCATATAATAGTACCGCCTTAAGTCCACTTTTTGGCGGACAAACAGACCGACATGGTTAGGTTAAGAACGCTAATGGACAATCTGAGGTGCTAATGGCTTAAAAAAGTAATTAACTTTGGCTATTCTTAATTCATTCAGCGCTCAATTACGGGAACACTTATATCAGTCATATCTGTGAATAATTATGCTTTGACAAATATGCATAATAGACAAAAACTACGGGCCGGCAACGCGGCCCGGGCCAGCTAGTATTTATATATATGGGAGCTATTTCCAAATCTTAGCCGATAAAATTTGGGAAAGCTAAAGCTATATCTAAACCGATTTTCTCCAAATCTGATTTACTTGCTTCTAGACTGAAGTCGGTGGAATGTACCAAAATACAGATCATTTGGACTTATGCTACCTAACCCGTAGACGGTTGAAGATATATGGAAGCTAAGTCTAAATCTGATCCGATTATCACCATTAAGTGATGCTGATAGCCAAGAAATTGGATATATAGCAAAATAGGTGTAATATAAATGTAAAAGAATATATCTTATGCATTCTGTTTATAAGTCAAGAACCGCTGGGCCGATTTTCACAATTCCCATAAATTCGGAATAGTCTCTTGACAGAAATGGATAAAATCTATTAAATTCGAGGAAAATATAGCAATAAACAAATTTTGTAATATTTTTTATCGCATGCGATATTTTTCATTTTGACTTCCAATTTTGAATTGTAACTTTTTTAAATTTTTACACTCTGCAACACTACGTTTTGAGGATATTATATGTGTTTAATTTCAAACTTAATTTTCATTAAATTGCGTTGATATTACATATTTGTAACACGGGTGATTTTTTCTCCACCTTAGGTAATGTCTACTACCTCTTAATACGACTTTGTACTTCGTACATAATGTCAAAGGTAATGACATTTCCTAAGGAGTGACGTTTGTAATTGCCGCCTTTACAGTATTCTACCGACTCAACGAGTACTAACAAGCATAGGATTACGTCCTACTGCTAAAAACCCTTTTTACGAAGGAAATATTGTTCAACGAACAGCCACCCTATAAAAATATACAGTCCACTACTCTAGTTGGAAAAAATATTAATCATTTGTGTTTTTATTTTTCTACGCAAACAATATGCATGTCGCAATAATCGTTCGATCCGCACGAAATTTTGTATGGCGGTAGGGTTAGGGTCAGAATTAAAGCCTATTATTCTTAAGATGTTTTAAAATTAAAATTTTTCTAATTTTGTAGTCGCTCTATGGACCACAATTGAAAACTAATCGACGGAATTTCGCATCAGAAGAGAGTTAAGGACAGGGGCATTATTTTTGACATTATTTCAAAAACGAAACCTTCCAAAATGGATTTGGATATAAGGGGACTTCGAACCAATTGTAGTGTTGTAGGGTATAACATGGTCGGCGCCCCATGACTTTAGCATTTGCTTACTTCTTTTAAATCTTCTTGCATAATCAGATTGATTTTCAATGTAATTTAAAAAAAAAATCGAATTTTAAATTTAAAATCTAGGGATTGCATGTAGTATTTTACGTTCCAAGCAAACATTGTAATTATATTAACAATTTAACTCGAATAGAATATTTACTAACTTCAAACGTTCCGCACAACTTTAGTCACTAACCCTACGGTTACGTTTTTAGAAAATGTGTCAATATATTTTCTTCCAAATTGTAACTACTTTCGCATTTCTCTGTCCACAATGACCAAAGTTTTCAATGTTTTTTTTTTTTTTTTTTTTTTTTTTTTTGAAGTCGGTTTATGTATCCTTCCTATCTACCAACATAATGACATCTTTAATTTTGTGACATATGGTTTTCCTGCATAATTAGGTTCTATTAAATAGTCTTTTTTTTTTTGAGACTATATTGTAATTTTTTTAAAAAAAAACTATATCCGATTTGTTGATGCAATTGGCATTCCGAAATCCTACATACGTTTTGTATCAATTACCTAAGGACCTAGATGTTTTCAGAAGACTTTTTGCTTAACAATGTATTCATATTGATGAATATTTCTTTTGTTTTACACCTTGCCTTGTAAAACCGAAAGCTCTTTTATCCAATACGGTGGTATGCTTTAAATATTTCACATTTTACTTTCTCCTTGATAATTTTATACACATGTATAATTAGTTAAAATAATAAACACTGCAGTTCATGTAGCCAACGTACTTCTTCTTCTTCTTTCCATCTAATTTTAGGTATAATAAGTTTGAACATATCAAAATCTTCGGGGATGTATGTAATCACTGTAATTCCTTCATTTTCACAAACTTTGATTGATTTGTTAATTCTCGTTTTGTTTTTTTTTACTTTGCATATTTAAATTTAAAATAATAATTCTCAGTATATAAATGTTAACATTTGTGCAATTTTAAATATTCCATAATCCCTCTTCGTAGCTACCATCGGGGATAGGGAGGGTTGTTGTAGCCATTGTTGTATCCATTGTTATATCCGTTGTTGTATCCATTATTGTAGTAGGCACCGTTGTTGTAGTACTGGCCAGGAGCTTGTGGCGGCACATAGGTGGCTGCCGGTGTGACCACTACCACCTCAGCTCTTGGAGGCGGTGGGGGAGGTGGAGGATAGTATGGACGATTCCAGCCGGGAAAAATATCAATTTCGATACCTGGGCGATGATGGTGATGATGATGGCGATGGCGATATGGATCTTCATAGCCATAGGGCGGTGGTGGTGGTGGCATATCGCTAAAGAAAAACTGCGAAAAATATTTGTCGTCCCGGCAACTTTTTATGATGGGACTTCCGAAGAACTGCTGCCTCAAAATATCCAAAATAAACTGTATGGTAAATCATTTTATTGTTTCTAAACGAAAATACTGATAATGTACGGCTTACTCTGATTTTGATAACACACCGCCAAAAAAGCGAAAACAATCCCCCCATTGTCTAAAGCCACATACGTTGATGATATTGTAATGGTTAGGTACAGTGGTTCGTTTTGACAAAGTATGAGTCGGAATTTTGTTAAATTTGGAAAAAAATGAAGTATTCATATAATGTTTTTAATTATATTAAAAATAATATATATTTTACTATATCTGTTTTAAAAATTAAATGGGATCTAAAGAAGCTCTTCTATCAATAGAAGATTTGTTATGCATTCAAGTTGTGCGGTGCCGTGTTGTATCCCCATGGAAATAATCTCCATTACAATTATGGGGATTGTGACTTTTTAAATCATAAACCCCATTATGAAATGGGGATTATGTCCAAAATGAATCGGTCATAATACCCAGAAAGTAGGGGACATAAACCCCATTTTGGGGTAGGTATTTATACCCTACACCACATAGTGGTAAGGGTATTATGTCTTTGTGCATTTGTTTGTAACCTGAAGAAGAAAACGAGATAAGCCCATAGTTACTTTTAAGGATCTTCATAGAATCACTTTCTGTCAGTCCGTCCGTCCGTCCGTCCGTCTATGTATTCTTGTGAACAAAATGCAGGTCGCATTTCTTATACGATTCAGATAAAATTTTCAAAACAATATTTGTTTGGCGCAAGGACGAACCCTATTGAAATTGGTAATGATCGGTTCGGATGTGGATATAGCTCACATATCTTCAACTGTCTTCCGGTTAATTGTGCACCAAATGACCCATATCAGTCCAAAAGTCCTGAATTTCTGTACATTCGACCGAACTCAGTCTAGAAACAAGTACGCCGAATTCGGAGAAAATCGGTTCAGACATAGCTATAGCTCCCATATAACCGATTTGGTGATCAAGTCCCCTACACTCGTAATACGCACCCCACGGCTATCACATACAGCCCAGAAATTCCTCTGCCAAATTATATCAAGATCGGATCAGATTTAGTTATAGCTTCCATATATCTTCAACCGATTTCGGGTTAGTTGTGCACTAAATAGCGAATATTCAGCCTAGAAGCAAGTACATCAGATTTGGTAAAAATCGGTTCATATATAGCTATAGCTCTCATATATATTTCATTCGATTTGGTGTTTAAGTTCCCCACATTCGTAATATGCATTCGACGGGAATAATCTTCGGTTATTCGATCCGAATGTTTGTATATAAAATCCGGGTTTTATACGGTCCTAGGTATCATTTGAAAGCTTATGGAAATATGTAGCCTACAAGTTGTCAAATTATGGGAGGGTTTGAACCAGTTCCGGAGCAACACAAGAGAATTGGTATTATTGTACCGGAATTCTTTTAAAACCCATAAAAACTCGAAAATGGTCCCCTTATAGGCTATTAACATCTACATACTACATTATAGCTTACACTATTTTCTTTCCAAAATGATGTGCTGATATCTCTTGTAGTTCCAAGGATATTGACTTTAAAATCGAAGGTCGGCTACTTAAAAAAGTTATAAAGTTTAGAAAAACTGTGGATTGCACAGACGAATAAAACCTGGGAATTATGTTTGAACACAAAGTTGATTCATATGAAGAAAATATTTTCTTTATGGAAGAGGCTTAGTTCCAAATATATATAAAATTCCCAGTCCCGAGTATGAAAGTGTGCAACACCTCGAAACATTCATTTCAGACCCCACAAAGTATATACATTCTTGATGAGCATAAAATTCTATGTCGATTTAGCGAAGTCCGTCTCGAAATCGAAATGAAGTTTTTTGATAAAATGTTAATGTTAATTAACCAGATGTCTGTGAAATCTGCATGACTTTTGGTATTAAAAATGGGCTATATTGGTTCACGTCTTCTACATATAGCCACATACAACGGTACCTCCCTACATTCGGTATTTTGATGACTTTTCATCGGAATTGTTTCAGATTTCGAATTTGAAATTCTTAATGTGTACTGCTTTGACAGAAAATTGCATATGCAGGTCCAGGTCTTCGTACAGGCCCCATTTAACGATAACTTTCTATATTAAACACTTTTAAGATTTTTGCACTATATTTCAATGTTTTTTATACCCTCCACCTTGAAAAGGAGGTATATTAACTTTGTCATTCCGTTTGTAACATCCTTAAATATAAATATATATATAAATATATATATATATATATATTATATATATATATATATATATATATATATAATATATATATATATATATATATATATATATATATATATATATATATATATATATATATATATATATATATATATATATATCGGTCCACGTTTTGGTATAGTCCCCATATAACGGTACCTCCCGATATTCGGTATTTTCATTATTTATGCCACTTTTTCACGGATTTGTCTGAAAATTGGTGTTTGTTGGTCATAATGGTTCCAGCTCCGGTGGCGAAACATTGCATGTTTAGCTCCACGATTTGGTATAGTCCCCTTATAACGGTACCTCCCGATATTCGGTATTTTGATGATTTTTGGCACATTTTTCCATGAGTGTGTCTAAAAGTTGGTATATGTGGGTCATAATGGGCTCAAATGTTTCCACCTTAGGGTAAGGTGGAGGGTATTAAAAGTTTGGCTCGGCCGAACTTAATGTTTTTTTACTCGTTTTTTTTTTAATTTTCAAATTTCTTCCAATTGTTGAGGGCAATCAAAGTTCGCCCGGTCCTAACATACTGTTTTTAGAAAGTTTTTATAAAGTTTGTCTTTCTAGTAGTGACTTATTAAAATAATAACCTAAGGCCCCACTCAGTATATATCTCTCACTTACTCAAGAAATAGTAGAGTATGGCAGATTTTTGGTAATAATAACTTACAACGTTTAAACTTTTGTTGCTTGTATTTGCTAAATTATTGAAACGGGAGGGACCACAGTGCAATCAAATAACTCTTTTGAATATGTTCGATTTTTGGTAAACATGTCAACAATCGATCATCAATGTGTGTGTACCTACACTGATAAGACTCAAATGAGATCTAACCAGGTGAGTCACAAGAACAACGTATTTCACATTTTCATAAAAAACAAAAGCTGTTAACTATTTGGACATTCAGTTGTCTATTATTTTCTTTATCGAAGTTTCACCTTACTTTTAGAGATAAGAACAAAAATAAAATTTATTGATAATAAAAATTATTTTCGACTCGTCTAATATGCGTAATATTTTGTGATTCCCTTAAGAATTCGAGTTTTTTATGTAAAATGCTTTTTTTAACATATTATGACTCATACGATTGCAGTGTTCAAAGGTCGATTTTTTTTAAAATATGAGTATTGTAATCTCTATTGTTTGAAGCATTACTCAGGCCTTTACCCCAAATCACTCCCCACTCCAATGTGTACTTTTTTGAAGAAATTGAGGGTGTGATTGAATAATCTAATATTTGAATCGGATATGCAGATTAAATAGAAACCTATTTATAATAATTAAAATTCTACCCGTATTCCGTAATTACAAATTAAAAAATAAATTAAACTAATCTTTGTGAGAAGTTTTCTACTCTTTGCGAGCTAGAAGTGGGAAATATGGATGTGTTCTAGAAATTAAATTTTTACAACGGTCAAAGTCGCCCGGACCCGCTTTGTGATTTTTACATCCTCCACCATGGGTAGGAGGGTATGATAAATATGTCATTCAATTTGTAACACCTGACGTAGAGCTTTGAAATTTCACATCGGTCCACGTTTTCGTATATAACGATACCTACCAATATTCGGCATTTTAACACTTTTCCACGGATTGGTCGTAACTGTATTCTCCAACCGATCCCACTGGTATTTTCAATTTTAAGCGGAGCACGTTAAATCAAAATATTTCCTTTTGCTAATGGTGGAGGATATTTTAAGTTCGGACCGGCCGAGCTTAATGTTTTTTTTACTTATTATCATAAGGTTTGGCCCATGGTGCAATGAATACAAGGTTATTGCCAAAATATTAAAAACGCGAAAAAGGGAGCAAAAGTCAAAACTGGTCAATTGCAATGATATAAATTATTTGTAACTTCCGCTATACTATGGAGGATATATTAAGTTTTTCATTCTTAATTATCATCATATTCTTAATTATCATTTTATGTCGATTTTACCAACGAAATGAAATAGATTTAACATAGATGTCTTTTAGGTCCCTATAATTTTTGGCCTTTACATAAATGTAACGTATATAATGGTACCTTCCGATATTCTCTATTTTGTCGATTTTTCACGGAATTATTTCAAAATTGGTATTTGGAGTTCACAATAGACACAACCGTTTCTGGCAATTGGCTACACAGGTCCACGCCTTGGCATTGCCCCCATAAAACTCTACCAACCGGTATTTCGGTATTTTAATAATTTAAACTTTATTTTTTTCCTTCCAAAATGTTGGTATTAAAAGTTTGGCACGGCCTTTTTATACCCTCAATCATATGGCTACAGAGGGTATATATCATTTAATACGACCAAAACGTGTCTCATCGAAATAAAGATTTTAGACCCTAGGTCTCTTTGGACTAAATCCGTTTCAGGACATTCGAAGTCGATCTAGCAATGTCCGTCCGTCTGTCTGACTGGCTGGAGCGCACGATAACTCTTAAAGGGAGTACTCGATTTGATCCAAACTTGGCAAATTGTAGTATTATTTTTAGATTTAGATCGAGTTCGGATGTGTGTAATATCGGTCCACACCTTCTGGTATCTCCCCAAAAAAGGTCAAAATGTTCATAGAAAATAATTTACCGTATAGAACAGGGAAGAAAACTTGCGAATCTCAATATATGTATGTATCAGTGCTAATTCAGGTGCGAAGATGAGCAATACCGGTCCGCTCCGTTATGTACCTCCTCCGCAAAAGGGGCAAAAAGAAAACATTCGATTCTCCTCAAAATTCTCGCATCCCAATGTTTCTACTATCACAAGATCTGGTGTGAAGATGGTAGATATTCATTCACTCCTTCTGGATGGATAAAATTTTGAATGACCACGAAGCTTATAAAACGCGAAACGAAAATCCCATTGTTTTCAAACTCGGCACATCCCAATATTTCTGAACACAAGATCTGATGTGAAGATGGTATCTGATATATACCACTCACTCTGGAACTTTCCCACAACGGGTCGAAATATTGAACAATACATGAAGCTCACAAAACGCGAAATAAGTATCTGCTTTCTTTCAAACTCTGCACATCATAATATTTTTATAAGCAGAAGATCTTTAAGGAAAATGGGATATATCGGTTCACTCCTTCTAATACCTTCGCCACAAAATGATCAAGAACGAATTACAAAACGTGCGTAAAATGTTCAATAAGCAACCGATTCCCTTCAAATTTCATTCATCCCAATATTTTTACTAACGCAAAATCTGGTGTAAAGATGATAGATATTGGCCCATCCCTTTCGGTGTCTCCTCCAAAAGCGGTCACAATTTCCAATGCCTATATCTTTCATAACTTCTGAAACATGTTACATATAAATAATTCTCTCAACAGAGATCTGAAGTGAATAGGGAATTTATCAATCTACTCTTTTTTGTACCATTCCCACCAAAGATTAAAATTATTCAAATTTAATAATATTTTTATCAGTGTTAGATGAAATGGAATCTTTCGATTTATTGATTTCCAAAAATTCTTACATATCTCTTATAATGTGAAGAACGAAGTTGTCGTTATAGTCCAAATCTAGCATGTTGTGATATTTATTTATGTCAGATTTAGGTCAGGTACGAAATGGACAATATTGGTCCATTGCTTCGGAACCACACCAGGTAAAAAATTATTTTAATAAACGGACATAGGCTGAGGTGGTACATCTGTTGACAATACCGATTGATACTTTTCAATTAGTTATTTGTTTTTTAAACAAAGAAAGAAAGAGGGAATCAATCTGTCCTATTTTAGACGTATATCAGGTGTTGATAGTTTTTTGTTGAAGTGTTTGGTTTATTCAAAATATCAATTCTTTGCGGGAGAGCTGCAAGAAAAAGTGCTACGATATTGTTGAAACGATTTGCTAAGACTGAACGAAATCCAAGATCCCCGAGATACTTTATTTCTTGCATTTAGTCAATTTTTGCAATTTTTAGGGATACCAGAAGTGAGAGGAGTGGGCGGATGACTAAAACTTCGTTGTAAAATCTTTTGTAATTTGCATAGAAATTGGGCCATACCGGACCCCATTTTGTCATGTCTAACTTATAACTGTCGCTAGCCATAATTTCAAAGAAGTTTCATAACAAATTGACGACAAGTTGTTATTTCTGGTGATCTACAATTCAAAACGTAATTCCATCTATGTGAAATGGAAAAGAATTACAATAAATACAAATGTATTAACAAATATTTTGGAAGGTTGCCGATAACAGAACAAAAAATTTTAGGAAGTATCGTGGCACGAAAATTCAGAATGGTATAATTCAAATTATTTATAAATTTTTTCAATAGTAAAACGTACAGCATAAATTCCATTTTCACATTTATTTATTTTAAAAATGAACGTGAATAGAAAAAAAGTAGTTTTTAAGGTACAAAGTTTGTTTCAGTATAATCGAAATAAATTCTTTGTCTACTTATCTAAATTATAAATTAAATATTACAAAAATCACTAATCCACATATATCCATTAGACATTGTATTCGCTTATGGATTGTGATAATGTGCTGGTGGTGGTCCGGGTGGAATATAAACTTGAGCCGGTGTTGAATAAGCAGGAGGCGGTGGAGGGGGTGGGTGATGAGCTGGTGGCATTACCACAACTACAGGATTTGGAGGAGGTGGTGGTGGATGATGATGTCTGCGACGCCATGGAGGTATAATCTCAATCTTTATTCCCGGGCGATGATGGTGGTGATGATGTGGCGGCGGAGGCGGTGGTGGACAGCCATGAGGTGGTGGTGGCGGTACCATTGCTAAACGATTTTATTTCACAAAAAACGCAGTTAATTATATTGATCTGAACCCGTTCAAGTCTTTATTAATACTGTGGGCTTTAAAAAATTATTTTATTAATATACGTTATATGTGTTATTATCAGAGTAACCTGGAAGAATCGACAAGCACAATGTACCATAAAACTCTTATCGCCAAAAAGGTGATAAGCTGGCAATATATTTCCAGATTTGATATAAAACGGAAAAATAAAAACAATGCAGGTAATCGATAAGCTTTCCATTGAAACAAACAATTTGAGGGTACGTTGTTATATTGGAAGGTGGAGGTAACATTGGAAAATAACTTCGCAACCTATTGGAATGGGCAAATCAATAAGTTTTACAATGTGTGTCAACAACATTTCGACCATACAACAATAATTAATCTAAAGGCAGAGGCTACATTCGATGCCACCAAACACGTGATATCTCCATCTGAGGTAAATGTTTTCAACGATTAAAAATTTTCTACGGATAAATCACAACGTCAAAAGCAAATATTAAGAAATAGAAAAATCCCTCGAAATTGGAATACATATTGTATCAACAATTGGCAAAAAGTACAAGGAGACTTCATGTTAATATCAATGGTGAAGGTGTGAGTCATTAATTCACAATTCAACAACTTATCAACAATTATGTATGATCCATTTATGCCACACATGTGTACACATGTACACATTTTTGGGGAATTTGTTTAAAGAAAATCACACATTTGGGGCCTTAGTTAGGTTTAAAAATCAATTTCCACAATATTGGTCATTGGACTTCACATTTTCGAATGAGGTTAAATCAAGTGTTACTGAAAAACGGTAGCTTTATCGACGGATGATTAATCGTTTTTGGTACTAGATGACGTTGGATTGGATAACGTCATAATGCAAAGCCATTTGTCAATTGAATTCCGGATCATTTCTTGCATTTCAAGGATACAATCAGCAAAGACACGACAGACGGATGGGTGAAATCACAAGAAAAAATTAAAAAAAGATTAAATTTGTTGTTTTGAATAACTGTTGCATACGATTATAAAACAGAAAATTCTATTTCAAAATTAAAATCATATGCTTCTTAGATTTCAAATCACACAGATTTCAAGTGGAATTATTTCTCACAAATTCAAAGAGTAGTAATTTAGATTTTTCTTATCGAAAGTAAGACTTTAAAATAGATTCAACAACTACAGGCAGAAAAGAAATGTTTCCACAAGTTAAAATGTATCTCCCGTTTTTGTGGGCAGATGTATACCCTCAACCTAAGTCAGTTTATTACAATATATTTTGACTTAGCTTATGATTATTCAAATTTTTATCCCTTTACCGAGGAAATGTCGTAAGAGTGGATCAATATTAACCATTTCTAATCTGAACTAACTCTGATATGAATATACAACGTGCACGATTTGGACTATATTGACTTCACTTTATATGAGACTAGTTGGCCCGGTCCGCGTTGCCGGCCCGTAGTTTTTGTCTATTGGGCATATTTTTCCAAGCATAATTATTCACAGATATGACTGATATAAGTGTTCACGTACAGGTCGATTAAAAGTGTTTTAGAATACCTGTACCCATTTTTAAGCCGTGGGCTTCAATATTAAAACCATGTAAGGGATCAATTTTTTTAAAATTAATTTTTAATATGGCAAAAATCGTAGCAAAATCTTCAAGTCAAATGAGCAGTAATTTGGAATTTACTGTATTTTGTATACTACATAATTGAGGGCTGAATGATTTAAGAATAGCCAAAGTTAATTACTTTTTAAACCCATTAGCACCTTAGATTGTGCATTAGATTAGATTAGATCCATATAAGTCCCCCTAACCATGTCGGTCTGTTTGTCCGCCAAAAGGGGGACTTGAGAGGGTATTATTACATGGAGAAAATTCTAAAATTTGTAGATATGTTGAAATTTTTGTGTAAGATTTTCACCCCCTTATACACATTATTAGCCAAATTCTTTGAAATATGGTAAAATAAGGAGGTACCTTCTTTATATGAGCACTACTCCGAAACATCGACCTACATTGAAAACTTTCTTCTACCCCTTATAATCTAAGATGACAAATAGAGGCCAAATCAAAAATATAGCAGAACAATATAGCATGTCATGGCATTTCGCGTGATTTAAATAAGTAAAAATAGTTTTATCCACCTCATAATTGAGGGCAGAATGATAAGATGGGAATTAATTTTATTTGCCATTTAAGTTGTAAGTTGGAGACCCCTTAAAGTCCATATTTTCATCATAGTATAATTCAATGATGATTCAACAAATATTCGGTCCCGTGCTACTTTCTTATATTTGTAATTTGTTCATGTTCCCAACCAATATTCTCTTGGGGGTTACAAATTCAATAGAATACAAATTTTCTTTTCTGACCACACATTAGATGTGAAAGTGGCTTGGGGATACTCCAATGGGGACTTTACTTAAATAAATTCCTATGTGACAATTATCTGTATGATGGTTCCCTACCCCAGGGTGGCATAAATAAAAATTGTTAGCCAAATCAATTGATGAATGTGGTCAAGACCAATATGGGTCCTACTCTGAAAATTTCAAATTTTATGCGAAGAGGTTCTCTACCCCCTTAGAAACAAAAATGCCAAATAAGGGCCAAAAAATGAAAAAAAGTGGCCAAGACCCCAAATATAGCTTAAATCATAGATGGTTATATAAATATGAAATCTAGTTATTCTCTTATCCGTGAGTTATGATCGATATAAAAACCTACAAAAGCGATTTAAGGTATTTTGAATGTTTGGGAAGAATTTCTGGAAGGATATAAAACCTTTTCTTACTAAAAGTCCCATTCGCTCTAGTATTTTGCACCTTTTATATTTTGTATTTTACTGATTACTCTTCCAAGAAATTTTGCATTTTGAGCTCTCATAGGACGGATCATTGTCAGATGAAAGAAGTAGGTCCACGCTTTGAAATGAGCCCCATTAGGCTTATTCGGTCATTTTTTTTTTTTTGTGTTCGCATCTTTCAGCCCTGGAGTTGAAGGGTAGATATCAGTTACATCCTATTTCGCACTTATTTAATTTTTTTGGTTAAAAATCGTATATAGTAAAAAATTATTCTTTATTTTGTTCACAAAAAATCCACTCAATTCAATATGATAATACATATTGAAAAAAAAAATGACAAAAGAAGAATAACAAATTGAAAAAATCTTTAACTTGTTCGATGATTTTTTACAGCAAATGTTTAAAGATCCTTGCAATGTTTGTCAATAGAACGTGCTATTATTTTAAAATTCGATTCCATTGAAATTTTTTTTCGATTTTTTCCCGATTTGAGAATTTTCGCAATGAGATCCCTTTTTCGTGATTTTTAGCGATTTTGAAAAAGTAATTATCTTTTAACTTTGGTGTGATAGCGTTAAGTTATTTCGATATCATCTATTCCGTTTCGCCACCACATAATTCGGTACTACACTTCCATGTAACCCGCAATAAATTTCAGTTCTCAAGAAATCAAATTCAAATCGAATTCAAAAATAATACTACAAATGTACATTAGAAAAAGTAAGTCAAAATGGAAAAAAATCATGCAAAATAAAACATTACTATTGTACATTTGAAAAGTCAAAATGAAAATTTTAATATATCACATTTTTATGCGATTTTTTGGATATTATCCTTTTCGGAGAGGAGACAATTCCGAATTTGTGTGAATCGTTAAAATCAGTCCAGCGGTTCTTAAGTTATAAGCGTAGTAACTAACACAACTTACATTATATATATAGATTTCTTCATGTTTCCACAATTTATTTCATATGGATGCACATCCCAAATCTACGTTCCCAACCAATATTCTCTTGGGGGTTTAAAAATTCAATAGAATACAAAATTTTCTTTTCTGACCACACATTAGATGTGAAAGTGGACTTGGGGATACTCCAATGTGGGGACTTTACTTAAATAAATTCCTATGTGGCAATTATCTGTATGATGGTTCCCTACCCCAGGGTGGCATAAATAAAAATTGTTAGCCAAATCAATTGATGAATTTGGTCAATACCAATATGGGCCCTACTCTGAAAATTTCAAATTTTATGCGAAGAGGTTATCTACCCCCTTAGAAACAAAAATGTCAAATAAGGGCCAAAAAATGAAAAAAGTGGCCGGCCAAGACCCCAAAAATAACTTAAATCATAGATGGTTATATAAATATGAAATCGGGTTGTTCCCTTATCCATGAGTTATGATCGATATAAAGACCTGCAAAAGTGATTTTAGGTATTTTGAATGTTTGGGAAGAATTTCTGGAAGGATATAAAACCTTTTCTTACTAAAAGTCCCATTCGCTCTACTATTTTGCACCTTTTATTTCAATATTGGTATATTACTTATTATTCTCCCAAAGAATTTTGCATTTTGAGCTCTCATTGGACGGATCATTGCCACGCTTTGAAATGAGCCCCATTAAGCTTTTTCGGTCATTTTTGTTTGTTTAAATGTGTTCGCATCTTCCAGCTAACCCACGATGTAGGCCCTGGAGTTGAAAGGTAGATGTCAGTTAACATCCTATTTCGCACTTATTTAATTTTTTTAGTGAAAAATTATTCTTTATTTTGTTCACAAAAAATCCACTGAATTCAATATGATAATACAAATTGAAAAAAAAATTGACAAAAAAAAAGGAATAACAAATTGAAAAAGTCTTCAACTTTTTCGCTGATTTTTTACAGCAAATGTTTTAAGATCCTTCCTTACAAAGTTTGTCAATAGAATGTACTATTACTTTAAATTCGATTCCATTGAAAATGTTTTTTTTTGATTTTTGCAATGAGATCTCTTTTTCATGATTTTTCAGCGATTTAGAAAAAGTAATTATCTTTTAACTTTGGTGTGACCGCGTTAAATATTTCGATATCATCTATTCCGTTTCGCCACCACATAATTCGCTACTACACTTCCATGTAACCCGCCATCAATTTCAGTTCTCAAGAAATCAAGTCAATTAAATAAATTGGTATAAATATTCGAATTCAAAATAAAATATAAAAAAACACTACAAATGTACATTAGAAAAAAGTAAGTCAAAATGGA